TATATCAAAAACCTTTTCCTGCATTTCAGCTAGGAGCAAATCCAGGTCTTTCTTCATATAAGTTTGTCACAGGTAACAAGCCCTGGTTGTTTTTTTTTTTTTTTTTTTTTTTTTTACAGTATAATATTCTTTTCACCATACTGCTGAACTAGATTTGCTTATTTTTTTGCATTTGTATTAATACAGATGGGCTTCATAGTAGAATTCACCCATAAAACTATCAAGGCCAGGTGCCTTTGTGGGGAGGACAGAAGATTTTGTTTTGGTTTTTGGACAACTTTTAAAATTTGATCTATGGCCTTAATGCTCTTAAAAGTTTTTTTTATTTCTAGATTAAATTTTGATACTTCCATTTTGCTTAGAAATGTATCTACTTTACTGAAATTTTTCGCATATATAGCCATAGTGTTGATTCCAACAAATCTTGGATGCTGAGTGAAGACAAGACATAAGCAATACTCAATTAGTAATCTACATGTTATTTATGATTTTTCCTAGATGCCTACACTTAGATGCACATGCCCATACCATAGTTGGACACATGCACATTTACCCTCCTTTGTGCTAAACTTTGAGACTCTTGCTCAATCTTATGTCAATTGCTGAGTTACGAAGGGGGGTTTAAGGAACACATTTCTTTTTCCAGTTACCAAGGATTTTCCAGTTGTGACTAATCGGAAATGCAGCCATTGATTTTTGGAATTATTTCCTAACAGGTCAAGGGGAACAATAATGACAAGAAATCCATAGTTCCAATTTTCATGGTCTAGAGCTACTCACACCAAGGAATATCCATCCAATAGCTGCAAAGCACAGAATACTATTTGCATAAGCACTGGGGAAAACCCAGTGCTTTCTATACTGGCAGATTTATTTGCAGAGACACAGGCATTTTTTCCAGGGTGGCTGCCAAACTATCTCCTGAGCCTGTCTAGCTAGCACCTGGGAGACTCAGCGGGGGGCTTTGCAAATAATACCCTCCCCTTTGCCAGGATTGAGGCAGCCTGAGCGATTCTGTTTCAGTCTGTTGTGGCACCTTAATCTTTCTAAATTGCTCCACTCCTATTCTGGGGCCTCCCCAAGCAAGGCTGGGTGAAGGTGTGGCCACAGCAGCTATCTGCCTGAGGCTGGGGACAAAGGCCTGGAGGAATGGCAGGAGTGGGACAGAAGCTTTCAATTCCTGAAACACTTCTGTGTTCTTCAAAATTTTTATGTCCTGGGAAGTTGGGATGGGGCTGGGTGTAGTTCTGATATCATAACTGAAAACAACAAGGCAAAGTGACAAAGACCACTGACTGGGAGAGAAGAAAGAGAACTAATAGTGATTAGGTACAAACCATGTGCCAGGCTCCGTGCTGTTTCCATGGTATAAAAATAATCTCTTTGTTAAAGGCTTGATGGAACTCAAAATGTATTACTATTTTAATTTGCATATTCATCCTTAATGATCTCTTACCCTACTGAATAAAAGTATTGAGTTGTGTTTAGCAGAGAATTCCTTTCTTTAAATGAAGGTTCTATGGAAACTTGTTTATTATTTAATTTAATACATTTGTACATGGAGATCTGTTTTTATCATACCCAATGAGATCATTGGTGCTTTAATCAGAGAACTCCTTTTATTAAGCGAATATTTTATTATATCCCAATATAAGGATGGAACTCCTTTTGTTAAAGGAGGTCCCAATCTGGTGGCCCCTGAGATAATAATGCCACTTTACTCGAGTGATCTAGGGAATAAAAGCCACTGAGTTAGATTATCTCTAAAATTTCTTCGGTGCTAATCATTTTTCTTTGTAACCAGGAAAATAGACCAGTCTCCAGTGAAAAGAAAGTAGACAAAGGAGAGAGAGAGATAGAGAAGTAAGAAAGAGAAAGGAAAAAGAAAGGAAGGAAGGAAGAAATACAGTGTGTAGGAATATATTTTTATTGGTTTCATATTAGGTCTGATGTCACCTGAATGCGAGTGATTAGGGACTCGGGGCCTTCCCCACCAAACATAAGACCAGGTCTTCTGGATGGTTTCACCTGTGGCTGTGCCTTGGCTGAAGGCAGTATGGTCTGCCGAGGCATTTCTGCCTCCCAGGCTTCCTTCCCCTCCCTCTCCAGGACTCGTTTCCTGCCCATGGCCATGGAGTTCTTCTAAATCACTCCAAAATCGATCCTAAGAACTCACAGAAGGAGGTACACTTCTCCCCTGAAGACTGGTCTCACTCTGTCACCTGGGTTGGGCTGCAATGACATCATCATTGCTCACTGCAACCTCAACCTTCTGAGCTCAAGTGATCTTTCTTCCTTAGCCTCCTGAGTAGCTGGGACTACAGGTGCGTGTCACTATGCCGTGATGATTTTTTATAAAATTTTTTTGTAGAAATGGAGTCTTGCTACATTGCCCAGGCTGGTCTCAAACTCAGCCTCCTGAAATTCTGGGATTACAGCCACAAACATCCCAGCCCCATATATCTTTTTTTAATGCATATACATGTCAAGAGAAACATGTCGGCTGGGTGCAGTGGCTCACGCCTGTAATCCTAGCACTCTGGGAGGCCGAGGTGGGCGGATTGCTCGAGGTCAGGAGCTCGAAACCAGCCTGAGCAAGAGCGAGACCCCGTCTCTACCATAAATAGAAAGAAATTAATTGGCCAACTAATATATATAGAAAAAATTAGCCGGGCATGGTGGTGCATGCCTGTAGTCCCAGCTACTTGGGAGGCTGAGGCAGGAGGATCGCTTGAGCCCAGGAGTGTGAGGTTGCTGTGAGCTAGGCTGACACCACGGCACTCACTCTAGCCTGGGCAACAAAGTGAGACTCTGTCTCAAAAAAAAAAAAAAAAAAAAAAGAGAGAGAGAGAAACATGTCAAGTCAGTGATATTTTAATTTTAGCTTTACTCAATAGCTCATCACTGGGAAGAGAGGGAGGGCTGGGGTACTAGATGCTTGGCAAGGAGCAGAGAAGGAAGGAAGGGAAAGCAAATCAGGAACACAGAAAGAAGGATCCAGAGTCACATTTGGCCAATTTCAGAATTTTGCCCTTGCCTTGCCCTGCAATTTAAATTGGCTTTCTGATGAGAAGCACCATTTTGGGGGCATGTAGGAATCCTTTGGTGAAAGTCAACATGGTATCTGCACCGACTCTAACAATCCCTTAGCCTTTATAATTCTTTTAATTCTCCTGGGACACTCAGAGGTTAGTGACTTGTTTAGGTTTCCCTGGGTAGGCCTGGTAAAGATTTGAATTGATTGGAGGGAGGTCTTCTGACACCCAAAGCCATGTTCTCTTAATGGCTTTTCCTGCAGTGTCCAAAGCTACCCTTCATGTTTTTAGCCCAGAGTAAAGCCTCTCTCCAAAAGGTTATATTGTTGTTGGTAAGGGGTTATAGCACTATTTATTTCTTTAGTAATCTTTCATAATTTTGCTTAGTTGTCATCTCAGTTTTCTAAAACTGGATAAGCTGCTTTCCTTTATACACCCTTCTCTGGTATTGCATACTTTTTAAAAAACAGAAGTGATCCCCAGAATTTGGCAACACATGGCAAACATTCGACGTGTTTCCATGACTTTTGTCCAGGGGCATTTATATCTCACCTCAGCATGTGTTGATAAATTGTGAATAGGTGCTGATTTTTAGCTCTTAGTTTTTAAGAAAAACTTGTCAACCATTTATGATTACTCTAATGGAGATCAAAATGAATAAAACTAATCCTTTATAATTAGCTTGTGAAGATTATTTGTTCAACTGTAAAATGGGCACTCACACACACTGAGAATTGTGTGGAACAAAGTTTGTGATCAGGGCTCGGATGGGTGCTGAGGACAGTGGGACATATTTTATTGTAAACCAAATAATTTAGAGTCACAAAAGTGAGGATTTGAGGCTGTATTTCTAACTACTAGGAAACATTTCTACCTGCTTTAACTTCTCAGTGATTTGGTATCTATGGAGACTACCCAATCTGATTTAAAGTGAATCAGTATTAAATAAGTGTAAGAAGATGGAAGGGTCACTATATTCCTCAAATACCTTTTCTCTTCCAAGAAGAGAGGGAGTAAGGAGAGGAACGCTTTCCTTTGCCAGTCAGGGAATAAATATTTTGGCATAGAGAGAGACATAAGCATGTCCCTGGTTTGTACAATTTAATTAGGAAGACTGGAATTTACATTTGTGCCATTCATAGAAAAAGAGCTAAAAGTAGAAACAATGTTATTATCATTTTAAAAAGTTTTAGTATTACATTCATTCCATGTACCCTTGTGTCAACAGAGCCAAAGTATAAAGTTTTCATCATTTAAGCAAAAGAAGAAATCCGAGAGATTAAGAAGACTCTGTACAGACAGAAGGGAGGTGTAGCTGTAGCAAAGGTAAATAATAAAGTCAATCTCAAATAGGGAAATGATTTCTGTTACTTCTTATTTCTGATTCAAAAATAAAGGAGACCTGATTTTAAACCAAAGTGAAAGAGACAAAGGAAATTTTCAAAAGCCATACACCCAGTCTGCATTGTATGGAACATGCTACCAATCATGTCTAGAGACACATTTTAGAAAGGTTTTGAAAATTTACGTTAGTACTTAGTTCTGAGTCCAACCAGTGGAAACAATACAAACTCTTAATTCTTCTATTTCAGGTAATATAGTTGCTATTCTGTGATTTTTGAGAATATGTTTCCTTGTTCTTAAAATCATTTGACATTAGCAATTATTAAGAGTAAAATATTACTTTGAGCTAAAGCTTATTTTTTTTTTTTTAAGTTTGAGGGCTAAAGAAAGTTCAATCCGAGAGGAGAAGTTTCAGAGAGAAATGTAGGCAATTACTACAAGCATCTGAAGCGTAAGATCGTTTCTAGGAGTGCATGCATTGATGTTAGGCGTACAGAGTTAAGAACTGCAATGAAAGGAAAACTCCATACTTGATATCACAGGAGCAGCTAGCCTACTGTCTACAACTGGACACAGGTCCAAAAATCAAATGTCACATGTTGAAAAAAAATCAAGCGGCACTGAGCTTGTAATGTATATTTTATTTTGCACAAGCTTGCATATATACTGCACATACATTCAGTTTAAGAGGAGATGGAAGGCACACAAGGCAATTGGACTACTGTATCCTTTAAGTGGTACAAAGCAAAAGGTAAAAGTTTGGAGAGTATACAAAAGCTTAAAACACACAAAGTAAAACCCCTTTCCCACCCTCCCCACAACTTTTTTTTTTCCTGTTTTGAAATTTAGTAGCTGCCAAACTAAATTTTTTACTTTTACTTTAAAATCAATTGTCTACTGCACCTTTTTATTTTCTTTTTAATATGGACAGGGAGTCTCATTGTGTTTATCATATCAATTAATATTACAGTACATCCTTGGTAATACAAAATTGTACACCTTCATCAAATAAATTAGGATAAATTAAACCAATAAATTATGCAAAGTCTTCAGAACAATAGACAACAACAAAAATCCACAATTGAAATTGCCTCTAGCTAAAAAAAAAAAAGAATCAAAAATTGACTTTATCAGTTCAGTTATTGTCCTATATTCAAATCAAAGGGTCTTTATTACAAAAAAAAAAGAGCTTAATAATGCTATTTACAACATATTGCTAAATAATATAAAGGCAGTGTTTTGTCACGGTTTGTACTATATACACATGAGAAATGGCTGGGACAGTATTGAGGGAAGCCGCGACCTTTGATTCTTCTAGGTAGTGCTGAGACCAACCCCAAATACATTTTCTTCTACTTCTAAATTTGAAGTGGTAATATACAATTTTAAAATGCTTCATCCCCCTACGTGGAGGAATTAGATATTTAAAAAATACAGAATGAATACATTTTCACAAAAGAAGGCCAGCTCGTTTGCTTTTTCTGTTCCTGTGTGTGCATTTTGGGGGCAGGAGGATGTTGGATTTGAGAGAGGGCTCAGTTGAAAAGACTCAAAGTCCAGATGCTTCCAGATTCTGTTATATTCTTAGAAGGATAATTATAAGAAGATGCAAAGGTTAAATACCAGTTTTGATCCCAGCTCTGAATATGAGCATTTTTAGCTTTAGTTTTTATAGATGGTTTACAACCAACAGATCTACAGAAAACAAAACTGCATTTCCTTCAACGTAACATTTAAGTGCAATACAGTAACTGCTTACTCATATAAACCAGTTACATTTTTTAAGGGGAGCTTTTTGAAAACAATGCTTCTTGCAATTTGCAAACACAGAGTTTGTACCAGAAGGGAAACATTTGTACTATTCACACCAATGAATACGCTATAATATACATGGCAAAGAGATTCTGCACTTGTCTTCACATATACACTGTTTCTTTCAGGGGAGTCTGTAAACCACTTTTTCTTTCGTGAATTTATGATTGTTTCTGGGTGACATCCTATTTTGAATGTCCCCACATCTTTAGCTTTATGACTTCATATTAACCTGTATGTGTGTGATGGGGGGGTACTTACTAAATGTCTTCATGTACATAGAAAAGAAATTTCATAAATGTACAGAAACTGCATTACCCTTGTCCTTGACAGGTGATAAAAGAGACTGTTATCTTTTAAAAGTAGAGAGCAGGATTTCCAAGAATGCTTTCAACTGTCTATCCAGTCACTGTAGTGTTCCTAATAAATTCAACAGATGTTGTGAGAATGTAGTTATTTATTAAAATCTCATGTCTTATGTAACAACAGCCATGAGGTTCAATATTTACATTGCTTTATAAAAGTTCCCCTCTTGCTTTAGTGTTTCTGTTTTGCTTTTTTTTTGTTGTTTTAAAAATTTTTTTTTAAATCATATTCACCCACATCCCTCTAGTACAGTAACAAAGATTCTGCAAACATAAAACACTTTAATTAAATAATACTCGTGGAGGCACAAAGCAAACTTCAGGAATATGTGGGTGAACATTTACTTAAATAATTACTACATTCTAACATCTTCCACGTGTTTTACCATTTAATGTGAAACATCCTCATTAAACAGCCAGAGATACAGTAAGAATTAAATGTTTTGTTGCAAATAGAACATTCTTTTCACAAAACATAACAAATGTCTAAAATAGGTTCTTAAATCTAGATAGGAAAAGGTAAGCTTTCCACTTCACACGCATATATATATATATGTATATTTTTACATGTGTGTATATGTGTGTATGTGTTTTTATGTTCACACATCTGCACACACATATATAGCACATGGTATGAAATATTGCTTCTATACTACTTTTCATTAGGCTAAGAAAACACAAGATTTGCACCACAGTTACAAAAAATTGGCTTCTACAAGAATTTTCAAAACTCGAATGCTGCTCAAACAATTGAGGAAAAAATAATTTGCGGTATCAAACTGTTCTAAAAATTCTCTTCTTCAAAAACGTATTCTCCCGCTTTGTTTTAAAAAGACACAAAATATGCATAGCTATCAACGTTATGTCAAACAGCCAGAAAAAAAATCTAGTGTTTATTGCAGCTGTAGTAATTGGAAATAAAGTCAAAAAAGATGAAATCGAAAGCCACAGAAGGCACGAGAACAATTGTACTTGTGGGAAAAAACTGGTATTTTGAAGGATTTTTAAAAATCCCCCCCGCTGGTGCATTTTAGGTCTAGGCACAGACTATAACCTCAAGTGTATACGCAAAAATAATTTAGGGTTAGCAGAAAATAAGGGGTTGTGTGGTATTTCAACATGGACTTTAGACTTGTTTTTTCATATGTAAACTGTCCCTCGTTCTTCACTCTCCCACCACAGAAAGTTAACTTTCTCCCAAGTAGCCAATTTTCACTTGGTGAGAGTTGAGCTAAGATTTGAAAGATGGTGATTAAAAAACAAACAAACAAACAAACAAAAAACTGTTCTATAGGAGTTTTGAGAGACAGGCTTTTGCCATTTGCCAATGCACTGGGAGGCACAAGATTTTACGATTGCAAAAGGGGAAAAACCACCTAAAAACAAAGTGATAAGAGTTCTATTTTCAGAACAAAGAAGTGAGTTTATTTTCATGCTGCAATTTCTGCTCTGAAATAATTTCTATGCCTCAGTGAACATTGAGAGGGTATTATCAGTAGATAAATGCATCAACACATTTGGTTGTGAACACCTACTTTTGCTTAATTTGTCTACTTAAATTAGAAAGGCAGGAGAAAATAAGACTAAAAATCCAAATAAGTCTGGAATCAATACTGAACTTGCCCCAGATCAAAAAGATACCTAGCAATCTGCCTACATAGGTGAATACACTACAGCTTTGCCTTTTACCTTGCAAATGGCAACGCGATGTGGATAAAAATTACACGGAATAGCAAAGACCCAGGTGTGTACTGACATGAACAATGAAAGTCATACTCTTTCAAACGCAGAAAGTCGAAAAGAGTGTGACTACACCAGTTGTGATTGCTTCCTTGCTTTGTGCTGATTGGATTTTTGTCCCCGCTTTATTCCAATGTAATAATTATAAAAACTTTTTTTTTTTTTTTAAAGCAAGCCAGAAAAGTAACAAATTGGCTCTAATGACCGTGCATTGTGTGGGAGAGTGTGAGCTGGGAGATGTGTGTGTGGCCACGGGTGCAGAGAGAAGCTGTCGGTGCCCAGCCCGGGCCACTGCACACCCTGTCCACAGCGAGAGGGCCTGCTCATCTCCTGAATGAAGCAGAGCATCACAGAACCGCACCATTTAATTTAAAGTCAGCAGGTTTTAAGGCTTTGTGCTGACAATAATTGCGTTCATACATTCCTGTCCATCAGCAGAATTTATAAATGACGTTAAATTTACAGCAATCGGGTCAGCTAGACAGTCACATGGGTCAAAACCTGTGCTTTCCAAAGTCAAATGTAATTTTTATGAAAATTAAGGGAAAATGGCATTTATGTTCTATATGTTCTAAATACCAGATTTGTTACTGTGTCATTTTAGGAGGTGTATATCAAATTACCTAAGAGGAAAGAGGGGTCTGGGAAAAAACACTATTAGAATGAACAATGAATTCTTACTGCATCTGCACACAAAAACCCATCTAAGAAAAGAACAAGTGTGAATGCCATATGATTTTCTAAATGCAAGTATGGGACATTGTACATCATTGAAAAACTGGAAGAAAAAAAAGGGAGAAAGAGGAGAACCATTGAAGAAAGCATAAAATAGCAGCTAGCTTTCTTATGTGTGCTGAAATTGTGTCTTTTGGGTTAACCCCAAACTTTCTCATGCTATACACTCTTCTCACATTTTGGTCAATACTAGCTTCTGAATTAGAAGAGGCATTATCAGTTGCTTTAAAATGCTATATCTAAAATGTAGAAATGCTTAATTAGACTGTCATCACTTAGAACACCCATAAGGGTAGTGTGGAATTGTATATGAAAATAGGTTATTCTCATATGTGAAGATCAAGTCAGCCAACAGTTGTTAACAAACTTCTAGTGTAGGCAAGAATCTTATGGTCAAGTTGGGATATTTCCTTTATTCCTTACTGTAGAAAGATATTCAGAAAACAGTGTTTTAGGGGAAAATAAAGATGTTAATTAATTAAATAGAAATAATAATCCTGTTAAGCATATAAACAACGTTGAGCAGAGTAAATTTGAAACTTATGTGCCTTTTAATATCTGAAGCAAAATAAATTGAAAGTGAAAACAAGTTATAGGTTTTCTTTTTTCTTTTCTATGAAGAATGATATCAGCCCCCTTATTTGAAAGAAGAACCTACTGTGAAGTTTAGAGAGGCGGCCAGTTCAGGTATGAATTTCCAGTCTCATCTTGAAAGAGTCAGTTTTGTGCAAAATTGCTTTGCCTTCCATAAGAAACTGGTACTAGTTTGGGGGGCGCCTGTCATTTCTCTTAGGAAAGGCTTGAGAGTTAGTGATTGTTTTTCTTTTAGGCCTTTTGGGGAACTTTTGCAAAGTGAGCTGCTCATCTGCCATTATTTTCAAACACGTAAGAGAAAGCTACTCATTGCGTTTCAAACCAAACAAGATATTTAAGTGTATGAAGTGGTTTCATTGAATTTTCAGACCTTCTTAGCAGTAAAAACAAGAGACACATCACCGTCTGTAGAGTCGTGCTGTGTCATGGGTTTTCCTCGGCCAACCGCCATTTGCAATAGGCCAGCAATTAAGCGGACGCATAGCTCGCAAATGCCCTTCCTTGCTAATACAGACTTTACACACGCCAACATTCTTTTTTTTTTTTTCCCTGAAAATTAACCCTATTTTAAGTCTCCAAATGTTAAGGGCCTTGGGCAAAAGTAAACTAAAGGCGGAAGGAACATAACCATCCCCTTTCAATGGAAAACAAAAGGAAAGGAGGGAAAGATGATGAGGAGGAATTACCAGCTGATTTCAGAACATATCCATGCCTCCCATACACATACATATGAAATCAAAATCTAGACACATATAACTCGGACATCCAAAGGGGACTGCTACTATTCATACATTCAAAAAGAGTTGTTGAAATTTCTACTCATGAAGCAGCTCTTGTAGGCAGTTCGGGGATTTGAAAATCTCAGGGACTTCACTATCCAGCTTGCAGATAACCTTGTATATGGCCTTCTTCCAGGAAGGATCAACATCTTTGCCTGCGATAATGGCATTGAAAAACTCCCGTAATGTGATCTGTGCAACTTCCAGGAATCTCTCTGGAACCTGCTGATACAAGGAGACAATGGCATTAATAAAGTTTTCAGTTTCAGGTCTACGGTTCTTCCAAGGAAACTGAGCTAAGAAAGGGGCTTACAGGGCACCTGCATTTTCTAAAAATGGCCAGCCTTTCTTATGTAAAGTCATTATATATAGTAGCCTCATGACGTGGGGTTGACAGCTTCGTGGAGTTTTAGAAGCAGACCTGCGCAAAGGATCCACGCAGACCTACTGAAAAACTAGGATTTCACTGTGAATATCAGGGTGGAAAAAGAGGATGTGACTGTTTGAATTCCTCATTTCATTAAGCAGGTACATTCCAGAAGAAAGTCTCCAATGAATTTTTCAGAATTCTATTTCCTTTTGATTTTCATTATGAAAACAAAATGTGTTCTCAAAATAAGATAATAAATGACTGGGTTTCTATCTGAACTTTTACTCACACTTTATGTAAAGAAAATCACCTAAAATCTCAGTTTCTTGTTTTTCTCAGAGGATTGTTGACTCAAATGCTAAATTCTATATTGAAGTGGTCTGCAGTATAAAGTACTCTGCATACATAAAGGAGTGAGATAATGGCATTAACAGGAAGTCACTAAATATAACATTTAAACTGAATCCTAAAATACTACATCAGAAACTACCCTGAGATTAAATTGCTCCACAAGAGAGTGATTTATGCAGCTGATAATAACAATAAAAACTTACATCTATTGAGTGCTTACCACATAACAGACACTGTGTTATGTGTTGAATGTGAGTTATATTATTAATTCTCCCAATCTCTTTATGAGTTGTTATCCCATTTATACAATGAGAAACTGTGGCTCAGAGAGATCAAGGGAATTGTTCAAGGTCATTATATTCCAAGAAAAACATTTCCCAAATATTCTTTTTAGAATCACTATTTGTTAAGTCTTTTCTTTCACAGAAATTAATACGTATGTGTGTTGTGTGTGTGTATGTGCACGTGTGTATATGTGTGTATTCTCTTAATTGTTCATTTAATAGTCTGATCTCTTGAGTAGGGAAAGCAGTAGCTATGATGTACTTATTTGGCATTCTTTGTAACCTACTTATAGCAAAGCACAGCTTATCTTTCCCCACACCAGCATAACAGATTCACAGAATAATTCCATGAACTCATAATTTTCCAAGCACACACTGACACTTAGTAGATTTCTTTTAGTGGGGTACTTATGCATTAGTAATGTTTTATTTTTACATTAAGTGCAGACATATGAGGACATAAATGTATCGTAGTCGTACGTGCAGACAGATTTGTCTACACATATATAAGAGATGAAAGATTTTTATCTCAGTTCAGACATGCCACTGTGGTAAATAAAAGGGAAGTATTACATTAAACATGTTCCCTCCCTTTCTCCTTACTTTTTCTCAACTGGTGCAATGGACCTTTTTACAAAAGTAACTGGTAAAGAAAACCAGAATAATCACCAGACATCCCTGTTTTGCACATTTAAAATTGGACGAAGAAGTGCATTGCTCCCAAAGGGGAGTCAATTGTCTTTTATAAAGAAACCTAACAACTCCCCAGAAAAAAATAAAAGGGTTCCCCTTTAGGGATAATCAGAGTCTTAAAAAAAAAAAAAAGTAAGAATTTTGAGCAGCTCTTCCCCCAAACTTTCACTCTGGCCCATTTCTTCCAATGCTGCTTGGAAATTCACCCAAATGGGCTCCTCATCCCCCATGGATGTGGGCTCCCCATCCCCCATGGATGTGGGCTCCCCATCCCCCATGGATGTGGGCTCCCCATCCCCCATGGATATGGGCTCCTTACCCCCCATGGATATGGGCTCCTTACCCCCCATGGATATGCAAACCCAGACTCCCCAACTGCCATTTCCTGCTGAGAATTCCTGTGGATTTTCCACATACCTTTGGTGATTTCCCCTAAAATCTCCTGGATGCATGAGTATTTGCTCGGGGAGAGCTGAGCCCTCCAACTCACCTTCTACCAATCAACAGTCATTAAGCAATCTTTCTGACTCCTCTCTCCAGTTCCCCCCTAAGATAACGCTTCACATTGTATCAAACGGGCGTGGCTGAGAGATGAACCCAGCTGGGGCACAGCTAGGCAGTGCAACCACCCACTCTAACTACCTACTTGGTTTGGGAGCTGTTAGCCAAATGCTCCGGAAACATAATCACAGGCATTTATTAAAATAAACATTTCAAGAAGTGTGGTTTCACTGGCCATTGGCAACAGAGCCTCGACTTTCGTCTGAGTTCCTTGAACACGCAGGGAGGCAGCATGGCGAGGCGGAGAGGAAGGGTGTGGGCAGCTGCTCCCAGGAAGCCGGAAAAGGCCGGAAGCCCCGCCCACCCAGGAGCTACCCCGGAAAAGGCCGGAAGCCCCGCCCACCCCAGGAGCTTCCCCGGATGTCTGGGGCGCCAGGGCCCAGGGAAAGGGGGCAGGGATGGAGACTGTGAGACAAGGGAGATACATCTAGAACAACATCAGCACCAGAGTGGGGGAGGGAAGTGTAGCTGTAGGATTTTCCTGAGACCAAATCAAGGTAACTTCTTTGGGGGTTGGGTGCCGCCTCCTCCTCATTATTTTTGTAGTTCACCCATGCTCGCGAATGGTTTTCAGTGGGTTCCACCCTGTTTTAAACAATCATTTCTTGTGGTAGTCATGTCATCATAGGCTGTCCTGTATCATTTTTTTTTTTCTGTTTGTGTGTTGATGTTATTTTTCCCCTGCTTACATCTAGCCCCAATTACCTTGTCACAAGGTGTATTCAGAGAAGGAGACACGGGTCCCCTTCTGTGTGTCGCCCAACATGCTTGGCAGAGTATCTTTTGCAAAGTCATTTGATAAATAGTTCATAATGAGATTTTTGCCTCTGCCTTACTCTCTATTACTCTAGAGTATCAGTTATATTCTTCCTCAATACTTAAATAAACGAAGCTTAAAAGAATGATATGATAAGATAGAATTTAAAGAGTTAGACCAGATCTTAGAAATTATGAGATTCTGTGAGGTGAAGAAATTATGAAAAAAAAAAAAAGACTTGTGAAATATAGTATCTTCCCATTAAACCATGCTGGCTCACTTTTAATGTTTTTGTGTGTGTTTTTTTAATTTTTTTTTTTTTTTTAGCAATTTCAACTATTTATATAAGGTATCACAACCTTGACAAGTTGTGGATCTGTAATCTAGAAAAACCACAGAGGAGCTAGTAACTTCAACATACATGAGAATAGTATAAAAGATTCCCAAGAAGAGACTTTGGTTACTGGTTTAGGTTGGGGAAGCGATGAATTCTTTGTAAACAAATGAAATGGCTTTCTAATTTAGTGCTTACTTTGAGGCAATATTCATGCAACAGACTGGGGCGGATAAAAGAAAGTTATAATGAGATCCTGTAATACTGGAGCAACTAATCTTTCTTGGTGGCTCCAGAGGTACACTGTTGGGTAGCAACTGATCTTCTGAGAGGGTGCCAGGGAATTCCATCCACAGGTAGAAATGTCGTGCATGGAAAAAGGGGCTCTCATTTCTCTGCTTGAAAACTTTCCCCCAGCTCCGTTTAACTGAGAAAGGGGGCGGGGTGCTTTCTGATGTTTTCGTGGGGGCACCTTAGAATCCAGGCTTATGAGAACGATGTTGCCCATATTTTTTCTGTAATTCTTAACACCCAATGGCTTTCCAATCACCAATAAACATCTGCAGAAAATCCCTTAGTGACAAGTAATCCCTTATCTAGGTTTCTTTTAATAGAACCCAACAATCTGCAGAATGAACCCTAGAGTATCTCCTCAGCATCAGGTGGCAACAGTCAATCAAGTCACTGGAATGCAAGACAATGCAGGCTGCTGGGGTGGGGGAAGGCCAAGCCTTTGGACATGCCACAGGGAAAAAACAAAAGGCTTCCAAAGTCCTTGGCTGGAACGGCTGAGGCTATTGTGGGAGTTGCTTTGCCCAGCGTTCCTTAGGAGAGTGGAAACTTTGTTTTGATAAAAAGGCATCCCAGTATAGGTACCTCACCTCAGATGGTCTTGCCTTGATATTTGGAGGAGGCTGTAATTGTGATGAGGCACTTGAATGCACTCATAAATTTGAAGGAGGCTAGTTTTCAGCAACTACCAATTTCATCATAATTTGTACTTGAGTCTCCTCCGAGCAAACGAGGGCCTTGTGGGCTTCAGTGAAACGGGAGGAGTTTCTCCAGGCTGCTCTGTCCCCAGCTGGGGTACACATGGACATGGCGTATTGGGTGGATGGGTGCTTTGCTGTTCTTATTTTTTTTTTTTTTAAATCAGAATGAGTGGCAAAGACACAATTTCCCCCGTCTTCCTCCTCCTCTTCCCAGTTGCTTTACCTTCAAGGATGATTTGTTTTATTAAACTGACTGTCCCTAGCCTCTGCAGTACATAATAAAAGCCTGACAGAGCAGGCTGCCTGCCTTCTGTGTCCTGCAGATACTCATCATAAGTGTCAGGACATACCAAGGTTAGCGGTCACTGGAAGTGTGCTCGCTGGCCCAAACCTTGCCAAACGCTCTTGGCAGCTGAATGAATGTCACAGAGAATAGAAGGGGAATTACAAAGGTTAAAAAGAAGACAGCCTCTCCTATTTTCTGGAGACAGAGAAGCTGATTTTTCACACCTCTGAACCATCCGCAAAGCTCATTCATCAGCCTCTTGTGAGGGACCTAAACCTTGCCCCGTGCTCAGCCCTCCACGGACACTCCTCCATCCTCAAGCCCCTTTCAAAATTGGCCCACTGGCCTCATTTCATCAGTGGAATGATCTTTACTAAAATGGACAGAAAACAAACCAAACATCGACCTCTCTTCCTAGCACCTTCCCAATAACCAACGGCTCAAATGGTCAATCGAGCTTATCAATAGATTACAACCTTATCAAGGGAGATCATCGTCACAGTTCATCTTTTAAGCTGTTTTTTTTTTTTTTTTTTTAAACTTGCTCCAATGGATAAATGGAAAAGGACCCATAGGTACGGGCAGGGGTGGCTAACGAATGGAAAAGTAAAATGCTGCCTAGTATTTTGGTGAATTAGTTTGTGTGTGGGTTTGCTTTCTCCTTCCTCCTCCATTTTCTTTACTACTATAAAAGGGCAATAAAATGCTGACTGTAAGAAGACAATGTCAAGGAGAAAAGGGTACTGGTATTTTGGATACTCTTCACTGCTCGCCTTGGAGAGAGAGTTATTCTTGTCACAAACCCTTTTGTCTGCATCTGCTGACTGCTTGCCTGTAGCCAGCAGCATACTTTAACTGTTTTGTCACCTCCTAACATCACATGCATCAGCTGTTGGGCTTTTGTTACGGGTATTGTAGAACTAATCCGCTGTGGCTGTTCTACTGTGCAGTAAATAAAACAGAAACGGGGCTTCTCAGACTCTTCTGCATGAATATTTCAGATGGCTTTTACAACCTCCGATTCACAAAATCAAATAAATAAATAACTCCCCCAGCCCCCTCCAGCCTCTCCCTACACACAGAAACAAAACCCCCTCCAACTCGCCCCAGATGCCTTCAAGTCAACTGCATTGAAGGCGCGCACTTGAGCCTTCAAGCAATTGTTTCGGTGAAGTTGAAAGCACAGGGCTCTCTCACCCTACCACCGTGGAATTCATATTTACGATCAGAGTTAAATACGTCTAACGCTGAAAACTGGGTGAGCAGCCCTGAAAATCTGGAGAGAGCTACTTTTCTTCCCCTGGGACATTCAAAAAATATATATCTGTAATGCCATCAGAAATATATAATTACAGTTGCCTTGTCAAACTGCTTTTATGGTTTCCATCTGCATTTTCTTCCCTTCCACTCATCTGAAAGGGGTCAAAGGAAGATGCTTGGATATCTAGTTCATCCTAAGAGTCATTCCAAAATGTTTAACCTGTATGGGGGCACAAAAGGAAAATCAAACTTTTCTGGGCTTTTCAAAACTGAATGTACATCATCAGCTCTCCTACGGTGTAAACAATGGACTGATCGTCTGTAGCGAGGGATTTTTCTAGATGACTTCTAAGTGTCTTTGGAGAAGTTAAGAAGAGAAAGGGCATCTGCACGCCTGTGCGCACACACACATGCACACAAAGATCCCAGGGAAGGAAACAAACAGTTGAAGTACTTTCCCTGAGCATTCATTCACCCTGGTGTGCACACGACTCCTCTAAACAAACTCTCCCATCCCTGCTGTTTGTTAAGTAAATATTGATCAAGGAGAGACCTATCTCCTGACAGCAGTGGCACAGGCTGGGGACTTGCACTGCAGACAGAGTGGACTTAAATGGATAAACTCAGATGCTTTAGTAACTCCTCGTAGAGATGATCAGATGAAAAGGCAAGAACAGATACGTCGTTGCTTGCTCCTCCGCTCTCTCACTCACACTGAATTCTCGGGCCAGAGGCAGAAAAGAAGAATCGTGGAGCTATGAAATATGGTCACAAGATGCTGTTACTAAGGCTCTCGCTTTGCAGTCATGCATGCATTTAGGCTGTGTGTACAGCCGGGGACTAACTGGCCCTTCAGAAGGGAAGAGCTGGTACAGTGAATGGTGGAATTGTAGTCCAATGCCCTCTTATTATAGGGAAGAATTAAATGGGCAAGGAAAAAAATGAATGTGCTTTGGAAAGCATAAAATATCATCCAAATGTAAGGTGGTGGTTTGAACCTTTAAAGAGGAGCCCTAATTCCTGGGAGGCATTTTACTGTGATTAATAAATGTGTGCAACATATCGTTTCGGGAGATGCTCTGAGGAGGTTTGCTTGGGTGGTTTAATATTGGCTGAGTCAACCAGTACAGAAAAGTTGCTGTGCGTTTCCTAAGTTTTGTTTTTGTCATTTCTTAATTGCAACTCAAATCCCTGTTTTCTGCACTGTCAGTAGCTGAATGGACACGTGTACTTCTCTGGGAAGGCCACTTTTAAAATCATCTTTAGAGATTAGGTTTTGTGTATCAAACACTGAGCACCACGGTCAAAGAACAAGGTGTTATATTTAGAGTTCCCCACAAACGGCTAAATGGCGCTTGAATTTTTATTAGGATGCTCATGTTTGGAGTGACTGGCATTAGCCAGGAGCACTGAGTACGAAGCTGCTTTCAGATGTCTTCCGGGTGACAGCAAATGAGGAAGAGGAAGATTCTTCACCATCTACTGGGTTTAGGACTAAAGTCTGTCCCCCTCTGATGCTCCAGGTGGCATTCACCTTTCAGGGACTTTAAAAGATTCGATCAGTCTATTGGACATGCAGGCGGGGTCCCTAAGAGTGGGCCCACTTTCTAGTGACATGTTTTCCTACTTAAATATGTGAAGAGCAAATGCTTGCAGGAAGTGGCTATAGTTCAAGGTTGTCCTTAAACAAAAAACAAA